GGTGCAGCAGGTGGCGGCATTCATCCACGCCAATACCTTTACTCTCGCAAGTTTTCAGATAATTTGTCAGTTTCAAACTCTGACAATATGAGTACACTTTCATTATTTTGCGTTTTAAAATCATTTTTATTCATCGACACCTCGACCTTGGCTATATAAAAGATATATATAGTTCATATATATTTCATATAATTTATTAATTATAAACATTTATTCGTTCAATTTATAAATAATTATAAATACCTACAATTTTTTTTCTTGCTGCAAGAAATTTTAATGTTAATAATGAAATGAGAAAATGACTCCATTTCTATAAGCTCTACATAAAAAGTCTAAATTTAAAACACTTTAGTGGTATGGATCTATTCTGTATGAATAAAGGTACCTGACAATTCAGATTTTGACAACTTACCTTGTAGTCAAGATTTATCAATACTTTACAACACTGGCTACAATTTGTTATTAAACTCTACATAAAAAGTCTAAATTTAAAACATTTTGCTGATATAAATATAATTAATAATTGTTATTATTTGGGCATTAAAGGGCAGATTACCATAGTCTAGAAACGGTATTTTTCGTATGATTTACTGTTTTGTTTTGATTTCTCGTATTATTCGTACCTAGTCTGTTACTATGTAGTTGCTAATATTAGGTTGTCCCAAAAGTTTCTTTCGCTTTATTAATAAGTAATACATGCACAATATTTTATGTTTTATGTTACATTACTGATTTGTGCACGATTCATTTTGATCCATTACTGTCACAACATGAGTATCTATGAAATTAGATTGTCTATTTATATAAACACGACCATATAAAATAATATAGTGCAACTCGCGAACGAAACTTTCAGGACAATTGGTTAGTTAGCGTGTTCGTATATGTGAATGTATGATCTTTATATGTTGATAACTTTTTAATAAAAAACATCCGACGGCTAAAACCTCTCGAGTGTTACTCAAGAGGGTGCTTTTGACAACATATGTCAAGGTCAAGGTCATCGGAGCTGCCTCCCCTAAACGTATGGTTTACGAACCGAACTATTTATTAGTTCTTCTCAGAAACCTAATTATTATACGAGATCGTCGCCATTAAAAATGAATATACTCTAGTTATACACACCTCTACTCACAAGTAACTACTAACAGTACCTAACTGCAAGTCACTGATTTTAATGAAATTTAACGTACTTATTAAACACCGAAAGATATTAAATACGTGTTTTCTTCTTTCAACTAAATACGCTCTTTAGGAGTAGAAAACACCCCTCAACCTGTGGAGATGGTATCGTTTAAGCTAATTATTTCTTAAAGGTTACAGTTTCTGAAAAAGTACTAGTTGTACAGTTTAGAATGATGCATTTGATGGTGTCCTTGAAATGACCTTGAGGTCAATTTCGAAGTCATTTAAAAATCAGTAGTGTTATTCGTCACTGTGGCGTGTAAAAAATTGCTATGCGTTGCAAAAATGATGGATTGGAATTTTTAAATTTCATTTCTATTCAATGGTTTGTTAATACAATGCAATAGTGAATTACATGTTATTAAAGGAAACATGCTTTAGATTGAGTATATTTATTTTATCTGAAGTTAACAAGATAAATAGCATGAAAGTGGCTAATCCACCATCAAGGTGAAACATTGAAAAACGATTAATAACACTCGACAATTTAAAGACTCATGTTAGATTAGCGATATAAAATTTCGCCACATATAAAAGTGGTTCGGTATATACGAAATAAACAGTTGCCTATTACTGAGTGCCAAGTGTTGTTCGCAAACCCAGTGATTACGTATGATTTCGCCATGAGACGTGAGTATTTAGAAAATTTCAAAAAATTTCTCACAACGTGAAACGTGTAAAACGTGCAAATCTATCATTTCTGTGAACATTGTCTTACATTCTTAATTGACTGTTCATTGATAAAGGACGTGCAATTAATTGCCGAATTATACTTGCCATATGTTTGTTGCGAATCAATTTAAATGGAATGGAAAAGTTGTGTGCCTTTATGGACCTTACACGGCCGATACAATCGAAATTATTTGTAAGAAAAAGGATAGAGGCAGCAGCACAAGAAGAGAAGTTTCTTTTGGAAACATGATTTAACTGCATCGTGTGATGGAATTTGGAGAAGGCGTAGTTTTTCATTCTTATATGGCTTATTGTTAGTGAGCTTATTTCATGGTATACTAGAAAAATCATAGATACACCTAAAATCAAGAGACAAACTCCTGAATCGGTGCATAAGCCGCTTTACACAAAACAGCAATGAAAATTTCCTTATTATCACAGTCTGGTCGTTGAGTTCTCAAATTAACTTCCACTGGCAAATGTACACTTAATATTGCCGAAAATATTATTGTATGTGTGACCAATAGTTGTCAAGCACAATGCAAATTACGAAAGTATTACCTACGCACAGCAATCGTGTTAAATTGCTGCAACTTCTGTACTGAAACGCCGTTGCACAAGTTTTCTGAACAATCGCTGACTGATGCGGTAAAAAAAGCTTGATTAGTTTTTAAATCTATACGCTAAAAAATATATAAAATAAAGATCTTTAAAAATACTTTTCATACCTTTTATTACAGTTTCTCACAAAATTGTCAACGTTAGTGGCGTTACCTACTGAATGGAGCGATAATATTTACTTTCGAAGAATTATTAATGTAATTTTTAGAGAAACAGCTACATTTGTGTCTCGACTTGTATTTTATTCAACGAAATAATAGACAATAAAATAAATGACTATTTCTAAGAGGCAAACGACGTTCTCTACATGTAAAAACCGCGTACAGTTACTCGCACTTCGATACACTACGTCATTTGATTATCGTTAATAGATAAAATTCAATAGCATACCAAATTTGATAAATGCCAGGATAGAAGACCGTCTAATCTAACACGAACATGATAAAACCATCGTTACAGTCGTTTATTGGATATTTGAACGAATACTCAGGATTAAAATTATAACTATTCACAGAAGTATGATGCACGTTAATATGGCTTCTGCTTTACAATTTTTAGATCTATACTTGGTGGCCATTGTCACCGCGACAGCTGTGGCAATCACTCTGACCAATGCTCAATGGGCCGACATTCCGAAAGAGTGTCCAATGGAAGATGGAAAAGAAGCGGTTCATATCCCGGATCCAAACGATTGTCACAAATTTTTCAAGTGCAACCATGGAGTGCCTGTACCGAAAGAGTGTCCAGTAAGTAATGATGAAAACCTCAGATTGTGCTACAACGAGGAACTGCAAGTCTGCGATTGGCCATGGAATGTAACCTGCTGTAATGGTACAGAACCTCCACCGCTTCCTTCAACTTTACCAACGACACCTACAACGTCAACACCAACAACCCAACCCACAACAACTTCGCCAACTTCGCCAAACACGCCAGGTGGATCAGAGAAATGTCCACCGACAGAATCTGTTAAAATACCCGACGAAACCGACTGTAGATATTATTACGAATGCGATCGAGGACAAAAATCAGGACCCTACAAATGTCGAGATGGTCTCTACTTCAATCCAATAGTCCAACAATGCGACCGCCCCATAAATGTACCAAATTGCCCGAAGATCTTTATTCCGTCTGCATAGTCTCTCCATTCAAAGAAAGGACAGGGATGAAAGGTTTCATTTGCGTAATTTTGCGTGACATTTAATTGCATGCTGAAAACTGATCATTTCTTTATGCATCATGAATATTTTTTTCCGATTCGGAGATCTTGAACTCGCATCGGCAGTAGGAATCATTAGCAACTGATTACCATGACTGTCCATAAGTCTTTTGGCGCACGAAGCGTTAGTAAAATACGACAACTCACGACCATATGCTTCAGTAGTTACACATGTGTAGTTTGCATTTTTTATGTAAAAATATGTTTTACATTAAATACGCAGGCACTAAGGTGTTGTAACGGATCACTTAATCTTTATGTACTTACACGTTTCATGGCATCCCAAAGCACGTGTCTATTTTGCCTTTACTTTAGCATGTTCGTGTTGTATACTTAGGTTGTCCCAAAAGTTCCTTTCGTTTTTTTTAGTAAGTAATACATACACAATAGTTTATGTTTTATGTTACGTTACTGACAATGATCTCTATAGGATCCATTTTGCCCTATTACCTTCTCTCATCTCTGTGGATGCAGTGTAATACTGTCTTTCACTGCATTTTTAGGTCATTCATTGAGATAAACCTTTTACCACGGGAGTATTTTTTAATGCAAAGAAAAAACATTCCAGTGAAACATTAACAATTTGTTTCTAATGATTAAAGAAACGTGGAACCTGAACGTTATCTTGCTGGAATACGACGCCCCCCCGCCTATTTAACATAACCGAGCTTTCTAAAATGATTGTGTATTATTGTTTAGGGAATGTTTAAAGTATCCGCCAATTCACGAACAGTATATTGCGTATTTTCATCAATGAAGGTCTTGATAAGGTATGTCTCTGATCCATTCGGATTAAAAGTACCATCACATCCTAAACTAACCGCGAACTGTCTTAACACACTTATAGAATTACTCTTATAAACGATGTACATTTCGTTTACAATGTCATTGGCATTGTTGCCTTTTTTAATGCAATTTAATCGTTAAGACACTTCACTCGTCGTAAATGCTTTCGTCGATTTTCCATAATTAAAGGCGTACGAAATGTCACGAACAACACTTCGATATGAATGAAATATTTTCCACGATGGTTAGACGATGACTGGAAAGGACAACATTAACTTTTAAAATATAAGATCGTTTACTTACTGCCAGTCAAAAACTTTTGAGACAACCTAATATTAGCTGTATGATTGTTCTTGAATAGTTCTTCCAGCGTGAATATCTTAGTTGTATTACCTTGGATCTGCTCTCATTCGTACTAAATCCTTTTTTGATACAACTGGCCAGAGAATATTTGGGAATATATTAGAAACGTTTTATGTAGCGCACTGCGTGCGTTGTTTAAATAATGCTCCAAATACCTTGGAATATATTTATTATTGTTACACTTCTATCTAATTTAAACTTTCGTTGCTAAATCCCTGGCTTTAGTTCGTTTAGACTTACAAACCTAGACACGTTTCAATAGATAATAGAATATTTATAACGACATCCCGTGAAATTTAATTTATTTCGAATTGCATCTTCGCCTCACAAGGAAATGCATATAAGCATATAATTTATTTATATAAACGAACAATCAAATATTTTATTTGCGTAGTATATATTTAAGGGGAGGTTACCGTTGAGATGCATGAAACATACGTGAACTTCTGGAATTTTGTTTTAATATAAAATTAATACTTACGGGTATAAGTTTCAAAGTAATATATTCTTGTATAATTGGAAGTTAAATTTCAATTTTTGTGTGTAAAAAGAGTCCAAAATGGTGGCTCCAGCTCAGATCAAATAAATAAATGTACGGCGTCGTTTGCTCTGCGCGGGGCGCTTCACATCCTTGCTAGTTTATCTGAACCAAAAATGGATTTCGAATTGTAAACGTAAAATAAATTTGAGAGCCCTTGTCGTTTTTCATTTTCTAAAAATCCTCTGCATAAGAAAATGGCAGCCGTTTGAAAAAGAAAACGAATTTTGTTGCTGTTTTCTTTTGCGTCAATGAACGAACAAAAAATGTGCAAATCAATTTTTAACAAAAGTCGCTTCGTGATAGTCTCGCCAATTGGATTTCTTTTCCATTTATTATGAAAATCGGTTAATCTGTTGAAGCTGTAGCGCACCCCGCGCTCTAAGAAATACTGTTTCGAAAAAAACAGCTACCTATTTCCAAGCCGACGCTGTAAATTTTTAAATACCTTCGAGAAATCGAATTTTTCATCGTCATGAACGGTAACCTCCCCTTAAGCTGCCCGACAAAAATCTTCATTTCGTTATCAGTATAGGTGTTAAATGGAACCTGCTCGAATAAGAGTTCACGCCAACTGTACCGCGGGCAAAATTCTGTGGATTGATGTCGATAAATAATTTATCAAGAAGTAACAATAAATTTTAGTGTTAGAAAGACGGATACATCTTACTCCCGATTTACATGACACCTTTTTTTTTTACACGGTTTTCAAAGAAACGGATTTGTAAAAGTAAATACTGTCGAACATAACTATTTTGGTTGTACATGTATTTATTTAGTAATTCTTTAATACCATTCGTTTGTAAACGCTGACAATGAACTTGAATATTTACTAGAAAGAAGTATGTTTTCCTTCTTTTTATATAACAATCAGTCATTACAGAGGACCTTACCAGGAGCCATGAATACATTCTTAAGATTTTACATTTAATGGTTAATGATACATAGTTGTAACTTTTGTAGCATTTTTATAATTCGACCGAACCTTTACAAATTGTAAATAAAGTGAATAGAAAAGTCATATCTGTAAAAACCAAAAATATGACTATAAAATTGTAGCTTTGTATATCTATTGTTTCGTAAAAGTATGTACTGACATTTTTTATTTTTCATTTGCATTTCACTTCTATTTTACATTGAAATAAATGATGTTCATTTAATAACTGGCTAAATTATTTGCATTTTGTTTTTGTTTTTTAGACAAACGAATGCGAAACGTGTCTATCGTGTAGATCGGGGGATAAGTATACTCTGTAAATGTAGGAGCACGCACAAACCGTTTTATTGTACATCGTCGTAGTAATTTTCAACTACATCTAACACGTGACAAGGTCGGTCGTCAATTCTTGAACCATGCTTCCTGTTATCAGAGCTTTCAAGTTCGTGAAGTAACCGACTTCTCTCCGGCGTCCTTTTCTCAAATCTCGGTTGCTGCGATTGTTGAGAAGCGTCCAGGATCGTTTTCAACGTGTCCAAAGCTCGATTGGCACTCGATATGGCGGATGAATCATCGACTCTCTTCCCGTACCTAATTATGTTACAGTAACCGTTAAAAAAAGGTTACAACGATTCTTTCTACCCAAAGCACATGCAATCAACACATTCACTTCCGAACTTATAATCGTCAACAGGGATTCGAACCCTAACCCGTACCGGGTTCCGGTACTTCGTATTATAGAATAACCCATCTAACCAGGTAACACAAGACATCTGTACCCCGAGTAACCCGTTTAACCCGGTTGTATGCGCGTTATGATAATACAGTAAAAACCATAGTTATTACCATGTATCTAAACGATAATCAATTTTATTTCAATATTGTCTGTTTTCTACTCTGCTGTCCACCCGCGAGAAGAAGGTCATGCAAGTGCTTACATTTACTCGTATTTACTACTCGTTTACTGTCCTTATGTAGCAGAAAAGAGTTAAAACAGTCCATTACGATTTCGTTTCGTACCTAGGCCTTCCGACGAACTTAAGGTAGTTTAAGTAGTGGTCAACAACTTGTTTTATGTCCTCGGTTGATGTCACCTCTGGTCTGCTCATTGGTTCCGGTTCACCGAGAACAGTCTCAGTTCCAAGAACGAAGACGACGAAGTATAAGAATATAACATTTGGAGACGATTGCATTCTTGCTACCGAAATAGTCTTCTTTACTGAAAAAGAAATTCCTACATTGTAGTTAGGTTTTTAGAAGGCATACGCTTTACCGACCCTAAAAAGAGAAGTATACATATTCAGAAATTGTTTATAAAGAAATTATGCGATGAGTTGTTTTCACACTGTCAGTATGATTTATTGAGCACAGGAACAAACTAAACCGGGTTTATAATGTCTTTAATATAGCGTTATTTTGTTTGACGATGTGCGCAAATGAACACTGCAAAAAAAGACTGGTGAACAATTGAGAGCTATAGTGATCGTAGAATATATTTAAGATCTATAAATTAAAAATTTTCTTAAGCGTGTGTTTCTACCTTGTTGGATCAAAAAAATTATATAAAATTTGTTCTTTCTTTTTCGAGCTTCATTAAATATTTCGACGGAATATCTGCGGACGGAATTATCCATGATTTATTAGATTCTTTTTCGGTATTTCTTAAGTACTTTTTCGTTTTTTGGTATCTATTTGTTCTGCTGCATCGGTTCTTTTCCTTTTCTGCTTTATCTGTTTTGTTCTTCATGTTTTGATTGTTTTGTTTCTGAACTGCTGGTAAAAATTGTTGAATGTTTTTTCTTTTGATTCCGTTTTGTAAGTTTAACTTGTAATTGGAAATATCAAATATGATCAGAAATCCAATAATTTGTACTCGGTGGATTCAAGAACATCATCAGATTTGATGTATTCAAAGTGAACGTTTCACATCAGGATAAAGGATATATTGAGTGTTTGCAAAATAAGATGCAAGTTTCGATCCACTCTTGTCAATATGATGAAATATTCCATCTATCTCGAAAGCTAGGTACATTTAGCTCGACAAACATTTGTTTTTGTGCTGTCACGTACCTCTTAGGTTGAATATTGAATTAACTGCAGATGTGGCGCAATGAATTGCTGAATTGGGCATTGTCTAGCTTGTATATATGTTCAACCTCTGTTTTACAACTTTTGTAATTACGTTAGAGTTCAGACTATTTGAATAATTTAATATTAAAAAGATGAATAGGTACGCAAATGCTTCGAATGGATGTAGAATATTTCAGTATTTTAACATTTTGTTTCTTAAATTAAAGTGAAACATTAACTTGACTTTTAAATACTTTGAATATTTCGATAAATGAAAATACATAGTATAAAAAATTACATTAATGACAATACCCCACCCCGTTTAATAAAAACGCCAGTAATCTTCAGATTTCGGAAAATATGACCTAGAATTAATTTTTTTGCCTGTTATAGTATGTCCTCCTTCGAACCAAACATTTTCCTCTGGAGACATATCTTCGTATCATTAAAAGCCTATTTTAGGTACAAATCTTAGACGACTCGATCGGTGTATTAGAATGTTCCTTGTTTTAATGATTTTTAAAGTCTATGTTATTCACCCTCGAAATACCTTGCAAATATATAAAAAAAACTTCTGAAAAATTTGAGCGCTTAATTTGAACATTAACACGTGTTCTAAAGCTTTGAAAGTTTTTAATAGAAAATATATGTAATTTATTTCAAACTTTTTTTTCCTAAATATTTCCTTATATATCAAACCAGTAATTATAGAGCTATTTTTTTTTAGTTAAAACATTTTCGCAATATTCCTTTAAATGTTTCAAATATAAAATTATTTAATATTCTTTGTAAAAGTTCCATAACCAAAGATTCTTTCTCAGGTAATTCGAAAATGTCGTACTTATTCTGTTATGGAAAAATTCTCTAATCTGAACACTTTTAACTCCCAATTGATCCATATAACGAAGATTCAACTGTTTTTGAATAGTAACTATACGGAGTGTCCCAGAATTAGTGTAAAAGCCGGAAATGGGGGGGGGGGGGTAGCTGAAACAATTCTGAACAACAATTTCCTTTGCAGAAATGTCGGATGGGCCTTCGTTTTTTAATTATTAACAAAAATCACCGACTAAATAAATAATAATACAGTATTTATAAATAACATATATAATAATAAATATACTATTTATTCGAATTCTATACGACATATACTGAAAACACTAAAGTTTTCGAATATTCCAATAATATTCGACAGGTACTCCCAGCTCTAAATTACATTCACTCGAGAGGCATACTTGTTTTCCATAAGGAAAGTTTTTAAAAGTGAAGTACTATATAATCTCTGTTATCAGAGCCTCGACATTATCGAGGAGAGTTTAAGACGAAAGAAAGAGGACCATACTCGATGTCTTCGATTTTATTCTACTTATATATAGCAACATCCTTATATCAATCCAATCCTATGTATCAAATCCTTCATATATCAACATTCGTTATCATACACAATGTCTTTGAGCGAATAATTTAGTGTTTGAAGGTTAAATCCTATTAGCGAAACCTCCACTGCTTATTCGAAAATATCGATGTCACGAAATTGTATTACCTTATCAATACAATAGATTAGATCGCCGTGAAACGGAAATCTGAATCAGTGATAGGATATGGATTTGATATGGCAGCAATTTGTGACACGGAAAGAAAAAGAAATGTGAAATTAAAAATTGCGTTGACAGAAGAGCAAGATAAACCACCGAACTGTGTAATTTACTGATTAGTTTACAGCCAAAATGTACATTCAATGCCACAATTTTTTTGGCCTACTAAGCTGGCCTATCAAGGATATGAAATTGGGATGAAAGAATGTTGGGAGATTACATTTGGTTACTCATCAAAGAAACAAACCCAACGAATAACAGAAGACAGAGCAAAGGCCGAAATTATTTCTAATTGAAATTAATTAAATAAATGTTTCCCATATAAATAGGAAAAAAATACAAAAACAGAGTAAAATTGGAATTTTTGTACCTTTACTCAATTATTCTTAATTCCGGTATTTATCCATAAATTTTCTTTAACAAACTCTTGTTTTCTTCGTAAAAGTGCGATCTATACGTAGGCAATAAGAAATTGGACATAATTTGACAATTTATATTTTTCCATGGCGATGGATGAAATATTCGTGTTCTATTTTAGCCGAAAAAGTTAAAATTTTTCATATATATTGGCTCGTAACACTTAAACTATTGAACCGATTGGAAAATAACGTGAAAAACAATTGTTGGAAATTCGATTCTCTTTAAAATGGCGTCTTGTGCGACCCAATCGGACGTTTCTAACTCGAGATATAGCCTAAAATGTGACCGTATGTCAGAAAAAAATTGAAAAAAAAAAATGGAAAAAAAATTGAAAAATTCATATAATGTGCCATTGAATGTACATTTTTGTTTTTTATTTTATAAACTAGTTTTATTGACACATACTTTGTTAATCGTTACTTTGAATGATATATAATAAACTCAACAATTATTTTACCTACAATATAATATACGTGTAAAATACATTTGGGAAAACGTGGAGAACCGGTATTATCTTAAATTTATGAAACCTTTTAATTTTCTTAATGCACCAATAATTTTCTCACTGAATTGCTATCAACATAAAATGAAAAAACCAACGTAAGCAAATAAAAAGCTAAATCAATCGTTTTCAGTTTAAAAAGTTTGTTATGTTATGCATCTTGAAAGATTGCACAGAACCGACGAAGTATCTAAATTGTTCACATAAACAATTATTAACGAACAGAACGGTACGATTAACCAGACCACAAATCCTATACTTACTTTCAAAAATTAGAAGATTTAAATTTCATTCATTTAAAGTATTCTTTCGACACGAAGAAGTGTTAGAGGCTTTATAAGTGCAAACATTTGATCTGTAATAATGTCATCAATGGTCTTAAAAGATTAAATCTATTACTGTTCTGCGATCCATTAATGTTGACGTATTATGTCACGTTTGGAGTACCTAGATAAATGCATGAAAGTCGTTTTGAAGTAGAGCCGAAGTCACTCGATCGTTGAAAAGAATGTAGAAACTCGCATAAGAATCCTTTCGATCGGGTACTTAAGATCTTATGAAAGGTCCCTTTTGAAATTTATCTGATAAGGTGACATTTCGTGTACCCTAAATATTTTTGAAGTTTAATCTAATCCGAAGGCCTAAATTATACCAAATCGATTTCAATACTGAAATAAATTTTCCATACTCTTTGATGACGATACTGAACTAGATTCGACCGTAGTCTCGGTTAAACACTAATTTTTTGGCCTTCGAAGGTGGTTATGAACGATTTATAAAAAAATCAAGGTACAAGGTAACATACAATTTGGGTGTTGTACTCATAATAGCTTTGGTGGTTTTATGGATGCCTATCATCTAGAAAAATATCATTCCTTTTTAACCAACTTCGAAAAAAGAGGAGGATATGACAAGAATTCGACATGTATAATTTTTTTTTGTATGTATGTTACCTTTGTACGCCCACACGGCTTGACCGATCGGAATGAACCTCTTGTATCTTGTAGAGCATGTTCGCCGATTGGTCCCGTTACTTCGACATTTTGAGATTTTTAATTTTTTACCCGTTTTTTTGTCAAAAAACCGAAACATTTTGTATTGCTTCTTATTCCGAAACGGATTGGCTAATCGAATTGAATCTTCTTGCATCTGGTAGGGCTTTGTTGGCTCTTGAAAGCTTGAAAAAACATTTGACCTATTTCCATTTTTTACCATTTTATTGCACTTTTTATTGTAAAAATGTACTATTTCATGTTCGGCCTGAATTCGATGAAAACGATGAAACCCTTTACATTTTGCTGCCGGATTCGTTTTCGAGTTGATCACTTTGCAAAAATGATTTTTCTTATTGTTTATATCTATTGTTATTGAAAAATTGCTATTTTTTTATGTAACTTGGCGAGGAAATTACCGAGCGGGATGGAACCTTCCATATATAATGTCAGAAGATTTGATAATGTTCCCATTTAGAGAAGTTATGAATTTCTTAATGTTTATAACAATTGTTACTGCAAAATTCCAATTCTTTGCTGAAACTCGGCACGGAATGAACCGATCGAGGTGGAGTCTTCCACACAATGTCAGATGATTTAATAGTGTTCCCATTTGGAAAAATTTCTGAACTTTTTAATGTTTATAACAATTGTAACTGAAAAACTCCTATTCTTTTGCCTATTCCCATTTGCAAACATTTATGGACACGTTCATTATTTAAAACCATTGTTGGTGCAAAATTGCTATGCTCTGGTGTAGCTTGACAAGGAATTTACCAAACGCAATCAATCCTTTCACATTTAGTTGCCCATGTATTCCTGATAATCCCATTTGAAACTATACAGGGTGTCCCAAAAATGTTGAATGTCCTTGAATGGGGTGATTTGAAACAATTTTTTCTTATTTCTACAAACGAGACAATTATTGTGAACTACGTTTCGAAAAATATTGGTAAATAAATTCAGCAATTTTTAGGGGCCCGTTAAGAGGACAATATCGTTGGATTGGTAACGGCTTAGCTGGCCCTATGACCAGTTTTCATAAAGCCGAGGAACAGATCAAATCGACTGTCTACCCGGTTTATCGTAGACCGTGCACTAAAAGAATGCACATCGTTAGGTGAAAACAGCGGCATAAAAGGCACTCTTCGAAGCTCGATAATCCGGCAACAAAGCTGTTTGGAAAACAAAGACGAATATTCCTGCAGCATCCCACACGCTGCGTAATCCGTATCGCGGCCTTCAAAAATGTCTCGATCATTTTTGCAATTGTCTCCATATTGTGTTACAATCTCAAAGGGAGTCTAATCAATAAATATACTGGGTGTGATCGAATATGACGTGTACAATGTCACGAAGTGATTCGTTATGAAAGATGCAAGAAGAAAAAAAAGGAGTATCATTTTTTATTTACAGTGCATTGTAAATCCGCTCTTAGCACGGCAAAAATAATTTTTTTAAGAAACACATTTCCGCATCACAATAAAATATTTTTAAAGGTTCGAAGTAAACTTATGCATACTTGTAAATTTCCACAAATGTATTAGTCCAGTTGTACAAGTGACCATGTATTATTGATGAATTTATCTAAACAATCTATGAATTTATCTAAACAAACGCATGGTATTCCCAAATCGTAACGCTGCATAATAACAAATATGATTCATATTTATTTCATTAGCATAGATTTATTTAAGTGTCTATGTTTATTTAATTATGTTTATTTATCGAATCTTTCTATAGTGACCTGAGACTTTTGCACAGTATAGTATGTTTTAGTTGCATGTGCTTTACGTAAAAAGAATCGGAGTTGCTAAAGTCGAAGTCGATGCGACTGTCGACATAAATACAAAGAAAAAGAATACTAAAAATAATTTATTTTGACACAAGATAAAAGAGTACTCCCTTAAATTTTCGCGTTGAATTTGGCAAATTTTTAATTTTTTAAGTATTATCTGATATAGACATTTTGAAAACTTTAACCAACAAGAATTTAAAAGAAAAATCTATTTTATGACTCTAAGAAAAGAAACAGTATTTACTTTCTTGTATGAGCGGAAATACTCGGTAGTTATGTACATAATTGGACCGCAGCTTCTGTCGTCGACCTTAACAGGGGAGCATTACCTACCTACATTAAATACGTGTAAAGTTATTAACATTATTAGATAATGTGCTTTATGCTATTCGAAACTAATAATTTCCAAACATGATGGTGCTTCATCATACTCTACTTGAAAAATAAGAACCTTTTTGAATGAAAAATATCAATTTTCGTAGAGAATCAATTGCCTGGTTTTCAAGATCATTAATTATTAGACCCCACGATTTTTATTTGCAGGGTCGTATCAAAGAGAAAGTTTGTAGTCAGGGTATTGGAACTCAGGGCCAATTAATACAAAGTATTAATCACGCATTGGAAGACTTGGAAAATCAAAACACGTTGTCGAGGCTTCATGCATCCGTAATTAGACGGACGCAGCTATGCATACAAGAGCAACGACATCAGTTTCAGTAATCTTGTAATTAATAATGAATAAAAAAGTTGACATCTACCTTTTTATCCTAGTTGTATCTAGGAACTCGTCAATTTTATGTAGCCATATTTTAGCTGTAATTGTGGAGTGGACTTTTAAACACGATTCTCTCGCAAACTGAATCAGAAGTTGTAAAATTGTCTTCTCGTTTCCTTCTTATTGTTTTTATAAAGCATCAGCTCGTGTCAACTTATACATATGTGTTATTGAATCACACGCTGCATTGCTATTTAATGTATCTTTATAAATGCAGGCATTCTTCAGAAAACAAGATCTCATCAAAAAATAAACGAAAATTACAAATTGATCGTGTTAGAGTTCCGAATGTACCATAATTTCTTATTCTCTTTATGCTTTGTTGGTAAATGAAAAAGTTTAACATTTTTGGGTAAAAACATGAATAGAAAACTTTTAAATATTTGTACGAAGAAAATGATATTGTGACAATATTTTGTGAAGAACGAGAAGAGATAAAAAAAAAAAGCAAAACCTAATTAGAAATATATAATATTTACTAATATAATGTTTAGTTTTCACGATATGAAAACAATTTTTCTCTTATATCACAAAATACTGTTTTCTGTTTCTTTCACCACATCATTTATTAGACCATAATTTTATTTATTACCATGGATTTATTTATTATAATACTTATAGTTTATTTCCATTATTAGTTCCGTTTGATAATTAATATTAGATTATTGTAACTTCTATTGACTTTGAAATCTACGAAATTCATTCAGTCAAAAGAGTCGTTAATTAAATTTCTCGGGATACAAATTGAACGTAAGTGGTCTTCGTTTAGATTTCTTAATTGCTCCGAAACCAATAAATATTACATCTATTTCATCATTTTAATTCACGTAGCACCATATATTTCTATTAAAAACCATCCAAAGACATCTTGGGAAATACGTATCCATTTTTGATAATAATTATTAAAATTGACACGGTGTTTATAAAAATACAAATAATTTTATATTTTTTACTGCGTTTTACAACAGCATTCTTTTGCACTTTAAAAACTAGTTTGATATAAATAAGACATCATTTCAAATATTAAAATTATCTGTATAAGCTATTTATGGTTTGAAGCAATAAAATAAATACATAAATAAACGTTAAAATTACATTGCATATAAACAGTAAAAATATTGACTCAAGATATCTGTGACAGAAACCGCAAATCCGATATTTCTACTTTTGAGTAAAAGCCAATGAAAGAATACTTTAATCGAAAAACTTTTTGTCTCCAAGGTTTAAAAGGATAACGTGATTTTCTTGTAATTAACACTGGAAATTAGAACCGTCACTTCCGGTTGATAAAAGTTTCGCACGCATTCTCGGCTCGTATAAATAAATAAATAAAAGAAATGGGAAAATTCCGTTAGCCGTTGGGTGTTATCTGATTTGCATTTGCTTGATTGAAAATTGAAACTCGTGTCCGTTAAAGATAAAATGGCGGACATCGACGATGCGATTCTCGCTGAATATGTAAAACTGATTGCGATGTCGTTTATAACAGATGCGAAGTAGAGACGCTTCGAATAATCGGATCGATAACGAGATATCGATGCGATCAGGGAGTACAAATTTCAAACTCATTCTTCTTTTACGACAGACTTGTGATATAAATATTATATCAACCATGAAAACAATATTTTTAAAGTAAATAATTGATCAAACAGAGGTTTACGTTCTTTGCGAGGTAAATTTCTTTGTAATTGAATCACTGAGTAGACATTTTTAAATGCTAAAATATTTCGTTTTTAAAGTATACATCTCATAAATGTATCGGAGTACAACGAATAGAGAAAGCCTATAGGCGTTCATGAATGTAAGTACTTTAGATATGTGATTTCTGAAATAAAAATATTCAAATAATTAGAATGATTAATTGTTTGTTGGTGTATATTGCTAAGTAAATGAAACTTAACGTTATTTCTTGACTACAAAATATTGAATTTCTTAAAATAGTAAATGTCACACACCTACAAACGATCTCTATTTAAATGTATTATGTGGCGATCTAAAATATTTGTCATATTTCCCCTTTGCATATAATTTTCAATAATTGTCTAAAATATACGTTTATACTTTTAATAAACTTTTACAGTAAGAGTAAGTTAATAAATACCATTGTACATTTGATAATAGGTATCACTGTAATCAATAAATTGCACGTATGTGTTGTAATTTTGTAATTCAACTATATTCATTGAACGTTAAAAAACTCGAAGCACACAAAATATATTTCATTCATAATCAAATAATCGTGGTGCTTTATTATTTCTTTCAACTCAACTACCATATGTTAGAAGTGGTGTCACTTAATGGACGATTCGATCGTCCGTCCCTTGATCCTCTTTCGAATAAATTTTGTTAAAAATTCTTACAGAAATAAATAAAAATATCAGGGAGGTAAAACATGAATTAATATAAATTACGATTATGAATAAAAAGACCTAACTCACATGAAATTATCAACGACGTAAATCTAGAAATATGATGAAATGTATAACCTCACGCATGTGAAATTATTAATGGTTGTTAATTGCAATAGCCTGTTTAACGAAAGAAAAAAAATCATATCCAATGTGTTTAATAAAAGATGAACTGTTTAAAGCTACAGAGTAGAACTATACAGAAACCAGGAGCGAGATCAAACCGATCGACGTTCAAAAAGAAAGATTAACAAAATGTCGGAATAACATTGTCCCGTATCCACAATATAAGACGACGTTCCTTTAAGACGCAGAAAGAGTTCAGTTATTTTTACGTGCAAAGAACTAGTAATGTTGCAAAAGATAGATCCGCGTCAGAATTGATTTCACCATCTGGTTTTCATCAAACCAATGGCGATTCGAGGTAACTGTTATTTTGAAGACACTTGCGTCCGTGGCCTCAATATTATTAAACGTTAATTTTACAGGACGGCTCCGAACAATGGCACACATCACAATAATTACACAGCGAATAGGTCACAATTATCCATAATTATTACAGCACAAACGGCGCGGATTCGATGTGGATAAAATTCAATTCGCAACACTTACTCACCGATCGATTGAGGAGTCGATTCGAGATTATTATATGCTCGTGAAGGTAAGAGATTAATCTGGTCGAGAAGCTTTCTGTATCCTGGCGAACGATTCGAAAGTTCAGATCGGCCGCTCGGGCCACCGACAGGAGTATATATACCTGAGAACGCACCCTCCAACGCATCCCCTCAGCTGCAGCCCATGGTATCGCGCAGCCAATCCACGAGGCTCAACCCCACCAGTCGTCCTTCTATCCTTCCCATGGATCTTTTTTTCGTCGATCGTTGTTGTTCTTCGTCAAGATATTGCCCGACGCACAGTGCGATGAGTATATGAGAAATAAGGACAAAAATCAAATCAGTAAATAAAAATATTCTACTCGATAAAAAAGGTAAAAAAAGTAAATAAGTATGTTAAAACAATGAAGAAAAAGTTTAGTACATAATATTTTACCAAAATCTTTGTTAAACAATTATTAAATAATTAATTAATTTTAAAAAGATAATAGAACAATTTAATTTTAAGGGAGCGTTTCACCGTGAACGTACAAAAAAAAGCATATTTTCAATCATTTTTTTCTCAGGAACTATTGCATGAAATTGAATGAATGTTTTTCCCCCTTAAAGGTATGATTAAGGAAAGCAAATAAAAAATTTTTTTTTTTGGTAAAAAATATTTCGTTATTTATTTATAAAATAATATGCATGTGTGCAAAAAAAAAGTTATTCGCTGGCGCTGGTGATTTTGGCTCTCCTGGTAATTTGAAATAGAAAATCGAAAAAGTTTATTAAACTATGTCGTCGCACCTATGGTTAGGTGTATTTTGATTATGCAATAGTGAGGTAAGTGTTTTTTTAATCCATATGATGTTAGTACAAATTTATAATATTTTAAGCTTTGCGGAGGGTTTTGAACAAACGATTAATCCAGCATTAGGATTTCTTTTATCGTACTATCCTTTCATTTCTCAGAACAACAAAAACGCTATTTTGATGCGAATTCGAAAAATTATGCTGATCAAATCCAGAACAATAGAATATACTATTATGTACCAGCAACGACAACAAAATTTCTAATATGAATAATTGTTATGAACGACGGAAATCAATTTTGCTCATTGGTAATTATAATAAACTATTCCAGTAGAGTTTCTGTCATCGCTAACTATTATTAGAGTACGAAATTAAATTTTCTCATCGATGACAATTTGCAGGTGACAGATACAGAATTCCTCTCATTGATAATGGTAATCGCTTTATCAACTACGAAAGGGCATATCGACATTTTGTAATTGATATTTTTAAATATTTTATTTATATTTTATCTTGGACTTTAGTCCAAAAACTAGCAAAATTCATAGCCGTTTCTAAAAATATACATTTTTAATAAAATTGCATCGTTTCAAAGTAAAACATACAAGCTTCAAATTGCTGTACCTAAAGTTCCATAAAAAGTACAAATATTAATATATATGAAAAATCCCAAGCATTTTATTTCACTAGGAAAACATAAAAAGAGATTCAAGTCGATTGATTGAAAATTGGCGAGGCTAGAGTGTCTACCGATTTTGAAAATGCTGTTTCGAGAGAAATGCATTTAAAGTTTCCGTTACGCTGATGTGCTCCTCTAAGTTTTCTAGAGCTCAAAACTACCCTTACACTTTCGCTATCGACTTCTAATTAACGGCATATCATTTTCGTATATATAGAGAGTACTTTAATTCTTTATTTACTGGCAGGACTTATAAGTCCCGTCAATTCTCTCATAGTACTGTGTTAATTAAACGCTTTAAAACCTATTGTGACTTTCAAGTCCACTTGCATGAAGCTCGTTGTTAATTGTCAGATGGCAGCACAAGCTCTTTTTAATTTGGAAGCTTGTTAGAGACAACTCTATAAGATGATATAAGACCAAAATGGAAAATTTTAAAAACTTTTGTGAAATTCGGTAAATAAAGAATTAAGCAACAAAATTCGATTTTTTTAAACAACCAAAATGGTTTAACCCCTTAATAACGTATCACGAGTAATATAATCGTTTTATAGTTAAAAACAAACTATGATATTTGATGTGTTACACTAATTTTGAAGCTGAATAAATAATGGGATTTTATTATGTGCAACTTGAGTTTTATTTTTATTTTAAATCGTGTGTGTTCAAAAAGATAGCAAGAACAAAAATATTAATTTGGTTAACTACAAACTAGCCAGATCATTTAAAGTTAAACTATTACAATATAGTGTAACGCACATTATTACGTTTATGTTGAAAGTGTCCAACAAAAAGTAAGGAAGGATTCCTTTCGTTATAAGCTGATCTTCGCGGGCAATAAGTTTCTGCAAAAGTGTAATCAGATTGGTTTGAAATGCGGGATTACTGGGAGATTTAATGAAATGTCCTTTGGAAAACTGGTATGAGAGATAAAAACGGATATTACGCTCGCAGAGAATTGTATATTCCTTTGTGCGTGTGTTAACCGATTTCTTTTGCGTAAAATTCTAAGACAAATCTATACAAATGTTTCCACGACCTAACAACATTTCTCTGTTTACGTTTGCCAACGATTTTTCCATGGTAAACGAGAATTTGAAAAAAAAGACACACTGCTCATTCGCTATCATTATCGTTCTACTCATCTGGATACAATAATATTCAATAATATTTTTTGCTTAATAACTTTTTAATGCGCAATGAGCGACGATTAAGTTATTAGAAAAAGTTACTCAGGGACATTTCCTTGACAACATATCCCAAGGTCAAGGTCATTGGGGTGAGGTCCCCTATTCGACATTTTTACTGTTGCTTTTTATTTGTATTTCATTCTATTTGTGATATAATATTAGTGCTGATTTCATAGAATAATTATGTTTCTTTCGTCTGTTTCGTTCTTTCTTTATTTACATACGCAGATCCTCGATTATCAAATTCTCTATTAGAGCCGAAACCTCTGTTATTCGTACTCTCCATCATCCGATACACTTTTTTATATATTTTCAATGTCATCTGAAGGTCGATATATTATACATACTTGAATTTGTCTTTTGACCAGCTACAACATTTAATGAAAACATTTTCCTTTGGAGGTATGTCTTCGCATCATTAAGAGCAACAGAGATATTTTAGGTGCAAATCTTAGGTGACTCACCATGTATACGAGGATCAGAGGTGGGTAATATTTGTAGAGAAACTATTTTAAATACTACTTTAAATAAAAGATTTTTCAGAATTCAAATAAAATAGTATTTCAAATGGGATATAAAAATAAATAGCATGAAAATAAACATTTTATTTTAATAATCTAACACATAAGATAAAATATGTTTCATTTTAATAATATAAAGCATAAAATTGAATACTTTTCACAGTTCTTAACCTGAAAATAAACTGTGTAAATATGATACACAGATGGAGAAACTATTTCTTGCGATTGAAGAATATCTCTTTCCATCACTCATTTTATGAAGATTCTTATTGAAGATTTTTAATAAAAGCATTCATTGAAGAACAACATTGAATGTATGTTTATAATCCAGAGGAAAAGTATTTCGTTCGTTTTAGATTACCAAAATAAATATATTTTACACTGTAATTTAGTAAAATAAATATATTTTGTTTGCTGATAATAAATTAAATAAATCAAATATTCCGAACTATGGCGCAAATATTTTCAATGTTTCTCAAATGAAATATTACTTGAAATATTATCTTAAACATTTTTCGTGATAAATAAAATGTTTTATTTTTAAAAATCCATGCATGACCCGAAATAAAATATTTATTTACTGTTTATTATTTAAAATACGTATTTTACCCAGCTCCGATGAGGATCAACATCAAGAAACTACAAAAGATATTCTATTACTCGAAAATTTCCTTATCCGAACACGCATGTTCCTCTATTCATTCGAATAATCGAGATTCTACTGTGTTTCATACAAAAAGTGTACAAATTTGTTGTGCAATGTAAACAGTATCTGTTGATCAGTATCTGATCATCTATTATTCGAATAAAATTCTGCCCAACTCTGGTTTCGATCAATTGGCGCTAATGGTTCGTCAATCGATTTGCTATTCGTTCCCAAATATTCCTCAGGGGTTTCCCGCGTCCGAACTCTGCAGACCCTGTAAAATTTCCACAGGATCACCCTCGACTCACCATCTACTTTATATTTAAAATAAAACGCGGCCCGCCCACTGTTATTCTTTTCGCTGCATCAGCGCATGTAGGTCGGACGGGGATATATCCACGCACGAAACTTAGAGATATCCGCGCGATACGTTCGACAATCTTAAGATCGTTAGATCTGACAGGGGGCTTCCGAAACTCACGAATGCCCGATAAAGATGCGAATCTGCACGCATCGAACCCGAGATCGACGTAGGTGTAATCCTCCATCTCGCACGTGGGCTCGATACGAATCGTGATGGCCATATTGATGGAAGTGTTAAACGGGATTGCAGACGCAGAGCAGAACGACCAGTCGCAGTCAACGAGGGATGAGAAGGGACAATATTAATAAAAGACACCCTATTAGCTTCGTGGAATTACCGCAATAGATTTCGGCCATTATGGAATCGTTCCTATTACCCTTTCCAACCCTTTCGCTGGGGGCTTTGGACTTCAATCTTAATGGCAATGTTGACAGTTATTGTATTCTTTAGATATTGTGTTTAATATGTTGTCTTTTTCAGAGATAAGAATGTTTGGTGTAAGGGCGGCGGAAGTGGTACGCGCATGTTCTATATGTCTTTTATTTGATGGGAGAAAAAAAATTAAATAGTAACTACATTCGTACATTTACTTTATTTAATATTGTGTTGTACAAAATATACAGGGTGTTCAGGCTATTACCAGCCAGCTTTTTTCAGGTGAACGGTGCACATGACAAAAAAATGAAAAAAGACAAATTTATACTGTTTTTTATGCGCAATGTAACCAGGTATATAGATCTTTCGTATTTCTACAATTTTCTAAGAAATGAAGGTGATCTTCAGTTTTCTAAATGGAATTGCGTATTTTTTATACAAAAATATGGTAGAGTATCGAATTCTAAATAAAAAAGTATTGTCCTTTATTAGCCCTAAACCTAATAGATAACGAGTAATTTCACTTTATTACTTGAAAATCTTCTTAACGTAATATCAAGATGGCGATTCAACCTTATCACAGATTTCCGCTGGGATGATGTTTTTCTTTATGAAGAATTCGTAGTACACTTGTTTGAATTACTTTCAAATTTTTTAAT